TTTAGTGTGAGGGAATTCTTAATAGACTCTTCTAGTGCTTGAGGATATTCCTTTTGGTTTTTCATTTTCTTCTGGCATTAGAGCACCTTTTTACTAGATGGATTACAGGCACAATCTGGAGCCTCATGTGCAAGGACAGATATAGCTCATAGAAGCTTTCCTCCTCCTACTGCTGCCATTAAACAATAAAGACAGTGCCATTTACTACCCGACACTGGACTCCTCCTTAAAATATAACAGGATGTGAGATTAGAACAAGATCCTGTGATCTCTTTACTTCCTGGATACTAAAAGAGTGGCATATAGGAGCCCAAATATTAATGGGAACTGCAGCATTCCCATTGTTGAAGAGAACAGGTGGATAGTTAACGGGAAAGATGTTTCTGTTCAGTGCCTTAGGGAAATTGTTCAAGCACCGTTCATTCATAGAATAATGTTACTGTTGTAATACTACAAAAGTCATTACATCAATGAACTACCCAGTGTGTGTGTTGGTAAATATGTAGTGTTCTATCTAATATGATTCATTAAGCTAAATAGATTGTACCCTTTTTGTGTATTTTCATGTTTACTTCAAGTTCACTACATCCTTATCGTATTGTGAAACGTTTTTTTTCAAAGGTTGTTTTATGGAATTTCACATTGTATTTGCTATACCCATGCAATTAGGAAGCAAAGTAATGACTTAAGTGCTCACACGTGAATTCTCAGATACCATTTTAGAATATATGGAAGAGATGATCAGAAAAGGCTCTATCTTCTGAATGATTTTATCTTGGATCCTTTTTTTTAACACACGTGTATACCCCTTTTCCATGTTTAGTGAATGTAATCAGACCTTGTCTTAGGCAATGGTCAGGGTAATGCATTTGCCTTGAAATCATGGCTTTATATGCGTGCTTGTACCATTTCATATTTCAAGCTGCCACTACTGCACAGACAGTTTGAAGGCCTGCAGTGTAGTACAAGATTAGACACACAAATACAGCAACATTCCCTGCAGATCTAGTGAGCTAGATATCCAAATGCCAGCCCAGAATGGGAACGATGTTTTACCGTGGCAACATGAATCTTTCATGACTTGTTGCCCAACAAAAAAACACAGGATTAAAAAAAGAGAGAGTTAGACTGATGGAAAATGCCTCTGTCATTTTCTAGCCTTAAAAGTTCCTGAGGTTTTTGTGTTTGCTGTCAATCAAGCAACTGGAAAATGTTTAAAATGGATTTCATATTAAGGGAGAATTTCCATTTCAGCAGGAGTTTTGATATTTCTTTCTCTGCATTCACATTCAGACAAGAAGGAGTCTTGTGAGTGTGAATGTATAGAATAAAATGGTCAGAACAAATGTACTGCTGCTCAAAAGATCGAATTCATGCTGTATGTGTTATTTTAAACATAGCACTACAGGCATTTTCTTAAGTTGGGCAGGAAACTACTATTAAATGAAATGTAAAAAGTTGAGTGATGTTTTAACTTATATATGCGTATATAATGGAGTGCCTTATAAGTATTTGTGAAAGCCAGTGGAAGTCATATAATTTTATATCCTAGTTAATTTATTTCTGTAGCATTTTACTGGCAAGAAGTGAGAACCAAATTCTGCCCTCGTGCATATACATAATTCTGTTTAAGTCAGTAGTTGTTTCCTGGAGATATCTGAGGACAGAACTTGCCCCCAAGTTTGCATGCTATTGGCTCATATGTTTGACCATTTGGAAGTTTCATAAAATGGTTTACTCATTGATATTAGGTGAGATTAAGCAAGTGCTAGTCCCATGGACGGCTCATTGGTATGCTGCTTTATGACAAGAGTGGTCTAGCCTTTCCTAATACAAGACACTGTTATTAGGCTGTACAGTTAGGCCCCGATCCTGTAAATGGTTCTCCAAATACTTAATGATTAATTTGAATGGGAGTACTCATGATAGTCATGTTAAGCACATGTATCAGTGTTGCAGGATCAGAGCTATCCAGTTTAATGGAGCAATCTCTGGTGTCCCACTATTAAACTCATGTATGTGTAATCAAAATGGGTTAAAAAAAGGTGCTCTGTATGGTTAAATAAGCTTTCTAGTTATGGCACACGGTATTGAATCAACTGCTGATAACCAAGGCAGCCACGTGATCTGTTTCTATGGCATAATCCTGCTTTGCCCAAATAGTAATTTAACAAATAAAACAAAAAAGTACAAAGGTATTGCACAATTACAACATGTATAGAATGAGCCCAACACTGTATTTTTATTATTTATATTTTATTTGTTGTTTTATACATAAATCAGGAGTGCTTAAAGCATATTAAGCCACTGTAAAAATGCAATGAAATTGGGTAAAATAATGGAGTTAACTATATAATATGAAACTATAAAATCAAATAACGTATGACTTCAACGTTTGCAAACTAATAGCTAAATTCAACAAAGAATTTATCGACCTGATTTAAAGAGAATTGGGATCAGAATCAACAGTGTCAGACAATAAGTATAAGGATAATTTTAAATATTTGGCAGGTGATCACTTCGACTCATATGTACCAGCCAGAGGCAATATACATCTACAGATAAAGTATATTGTGCAAGTATTTCCATGCTACAACAACTATTTGACAATACTTGTTTTACAGTTTTAGTGTAATACCTGTATTACAGGTACAGCAGATGATTAATTAAGCATTCACAATGATCATTTCCTGTATTTGCTTTTCCCTTATACTTATAGTTTTATAATCTGTCAGTCATAAATGTCATTTATGGCAGATGTTTAACACAAGTTTTAAAAAGAAGTGCCTCTCCAGTGTCAGTCTTAGCAACAGATTTATTGAACTTAGCAACAGCAACAGTGGTTAGCAAAATAATGTGTCTATAGAATTACAAGTTAAGGCAGCATTTACCCCTGCTCCTTCCTAATTAAAAATAGACTGAAGAGTTGGCATTGAAACTTTATTTTAAATGGTTTTGATATTACTGTGCACTCCTCCTTCAGAGGAACTGTGTGGTTCTATTCTTCAGATAACTTTCTGAAAAGTCATATTCCCATGACCCCATACCACAAGATCCCATTGGTTACATCTTTAATAAGTAACAAACAGATGTTCTCTGGAAAATTGTGAGTGTAGTTCAATTTAGACTGACAGCATTCACAAAATAAATATGTACAGCATTTCTTTTCATAACATATTTCAGGCTGAGAAATAAACAACAATCAATGTAATAGATTGTCAACTTGAAATCTGAGTTCATGTGTTTTATTCTTCTTATGAATCTTCTTAACTATTAGCTGAAAAGCGGAAATGAACTTTACTAGCAAGCTTAGTTTAAGTTGACATGGTACTTTATTTTTTGCTGACTGTATGGTAATAATCTAAATGTAAAATAATATGACCATTGGTATTAATTTAAAATGTACACAGAAGGAAACTTTTTCTACAGGCGGGGGGGAGGGGGCAAGGAGGAGCTAACTGGTGCCTGTCATCAAATGCCTTCTTCTCTACAGCTGGGGCTTTCCCCACTTGGCAGCAGCCTAATCAACTACACCTACCTGTTGAGGGTGGCATTTAGATTAAGATGTAGCTATTTGCTGTGTTAAAGGAGTCCTTGCATGACAGTTAGGTATTCATTAAAGTTGTAATAATGCTAGAAGGATCTGGAATTGCATAATCCCTTTCTCCATGGAGTTAGTCAGAGAATGGGCAGAAAGAAAGAAACAAAAAAGAGTGATGATGTAATTAATTTCAGATTCAAAATCCTAGTCATTTTTCAGCTGATCCACTTTCACCCCTCTGCCCCAGCCGGGATCCCCCTCCTGCACCCTGAACCCCGCATTTCTGGCCCCACCCCAGAGCCCACATCCCCAGCCAAGATCCCGTACCCGCTCCCACACCCCAACCCCCTGCCTCAGCCTGGAGCCCCCTCCCACACTCTGAACCCCTTGCCCCCACCCCCCAGCCTGTAGCCCCCTCCTGCACCTCAAACTCCTCATCCCTGGTCCCACCCCAGAGTCTGCATCTCCAGCCGGAGCCCTCACCCCCTCCCACACTCCAACCCCCTGCTCCAGCGCGGAGCTCTCTCCCATACTCTGAACCTCTTGGCCCCATCCCAGAGCCCCCTCCTGCACCCCAAATCCCTCATCCCTGGCCCCACACCCCCAGCCAGAGCCCACACCCCAACCCTCTGCCCCGCCCTGGTGAAAGTGAGCGAGGGTGGCGGAGGGAGGGGGGATGGAGAGAGTGGGGGTGGGGCCTCGGGGAAATGGGCGGGGCAAAGATATTTGGTTTTCTACTATTAGAAAGTTGGCAACCCTATTTGGAGTTACAGTACTGTATTTGTTTGACTTAAATGATTTGGGTGTATTCCATTTCACTGATCCTAAACTAGAAATTTTTTCCAAGCGGCCAGTGGCATTAAGATGTCTCATCGCTATACATTTCTTAGTTGGAAATTCAGTCAGGAATAGCAGTCTGAGTACAATATTTAGCACGTGTCAAGTTAAAATGAGCCCCTTTTCCTTTATAATAATACAGATTACAGATTTACAATATTTGAACATCATCTTTGATATTGGATTTTACAGTAGTTTTTTCCATGTTCTTCAGATTAAAGCGCTTACCTGAGTGTCAGAACAAACTTCCAAAACATGTTTTTTCCCAAATATCATATATCTTCATTTGAAGCAATGACTGTTATTAAATGTAATTAGTCGCAACTTGTGAATAAAGATATCTAGTATATGTCATGTTCATCGAAGGCTAAATCCTGTTGTTTAGTATGCAATCTTGCTCCTGTCAATGTGTGTTTTAATTGCAGATTGATAGCTGTACCAACCCTAGGTTCACTCAACTAGCATGTACCTTGTGAATTCGCTGTATTCTACAGTACATATAGTGTGCTTTTCTGCTACATAAACTGTGGACCTCTAATGTATTCAACATTTACAGTAATATTTGAAATTTGGTTTGCAGTTTTAGACATTACTTAAGAACCTATTTCTGCTTCCTCTTTAGGATCCCAGAAGCAAACACAAGTTTAAAATCCACACATATGGAAGCCCAACGTTCTGTGACCATTGTGGATCATTGCTGTATGGACTTCTACATCAAGGGATGAAATGTGACAGTAAGTAAGTTTTTCTAAAGTTATTAAAATGGCCTTTTAGATAATAAGGGAAACCATTAGGCATCAAGCGTCCTCTTTCCTTTGTCTGGAAAAATATTGTTTCAATTACAGTTAATTACAGTACTGTATATTTCAAATGAATATTTCATTATTGAAGACTCTCAGTAAAACAATATAAATCAGCCAAACCTCCTCCAGTGGGAAAAATGCTGTAAAAATATGCTAATGCAAACCATCCTGGTTACTGAAAAAGGAATCTATTGAGTTTGATGTGGCTAAAGTGTATTTGCCATCGCAGTTCTGAAGTTTGTTCTACTTGGGATGGGAAGGATGCATCCTTTGTGGAGACATTGGTTCAGCCCAGCTGCTAGCTAAGGTCCCGTATTTCATAGTCACTCCAGCAACAACCATAATTCATATGGAATCTGTACCCCAAAAGATAGGCAAAAGGAATCACCCTTGGGTGTGTAAAAGGGTGGCAAAAAAACAAAAAATGGTTTAAAATGCATAAATATTATTTGTACTGTCACAACAGAGCCATGCTTTGGGCTGGCCATTCTCCCTATTGTCCCACCTCCAGACTCCTCAAATGCACGTCCTACAACCATTGCCTTGATTTCCTCTGCTCCAGTGTCATCCCAGCTTTCTCCCAAACTAGCTACCTCCTGCTCCACTCCATGTCAATGTTCATAATCACCTCTTCCTGGCCACATATTGCACCCTCTAGTCCATCCTCATATTCCTTGATCTCTTGTGTGCTGATGACATGATCTGTCATCATCTCCTTGAAATCTTGTCCCCCCCCCCCCCCCTTGACTTTGTTGTCTTCAGTTCTTTTCATCTCTCTCTCACTGTTCCCAGAATATTTATTGTGGTGGCAGGGGTGGGGCGTGGACTCTCTCACCTTAAATCCTGCATCTCAGCTTGTGTCTCTAACATCTCTTGCTAGATTTCTCATCATAATTTAAGTTTAACATGATTAAAATTGTAATTCCTTATCTTCCATCCCAAACCTTCCACTCACCCTTTTCTTTGTCATTGATGGCATCAGCACCATTAAACTGTCACCAAGGTAGGTAATATGGATATGATTTTCCACTGCCTTCTCTCTAGATCACATACCCAGATCATGTCCAAATCCTGACATCTCTTCCCCTGTTACATCTTCATGATCAGCCTTTTCTCTCATTTTCTCTCCATCCCCCCATGCTAGTATTATGGAAATTAGAAAAGAAATATTTACAGTTCTGTATCAATAAGCAAACTGTCAATTTCTGTATTGGTTACAGTAATTTATAGCAAATGTTCTAATATTTTGGATCAAGTCTTTATTCCATGGACTCTTCATTTTGTCTGTTTTACATTCCATTAATAAGGTCACATTTTTAGGTGACTGAAGCTGAGCCTTTTATTGTGGTTAATACTTCAGTGTTTTTTAATAATATTTATAAGGAGAGCCATTGCATTTTGGTCGGTTAAAAAAAAACCCCAACAATTAATCAGATGTTATAGAATAATTTTACCACTCATGTTTACCATATGTATTTAGCATAAATATATTGACTTTCATACATGCCATCATTTTCTGAACCTTTTCTTTCCTGATCCACAGCTTGCGATATGAATGTTCACAAACAGTGTGTAATAAACGTCCCAAGTCTGTGTGGAATGGATCACACAGAGAAAAGAGGAAGGATTTATCTGAAAGTTGAAGTCAGTGGTGACAAACTGCAAGTCACAGGTAAAAAAAAAAAAAGTGTTCTGAGAATTGGTGACAATAGAAGGGTTTAATTTGAACTTTCCTGGGCTTTGGAATAACTAACATAAGTTGTGTTCAGCATTATTTGTAGCATATTTATGTGCCGTGAATGAAATCTAGGCTCATTGAAGTAAAGAACAAAACACCCCATTAATGTCAGTAAGGCAAGGATTTCATTCAATATGTACTTTAGTCTAAGAAATGCCATGTTATTATTTAAAAGAACAGGTTAGTTTATAATAGATACGCACATAGTTCAAAGAAATAATAGTGGCTCTAAATTAAAACGCAGGAACGCTAACTTTAAAATCTCTGTGAAATCAGTTTTTCAGGTAACCAACAGTAACCTGAAACATTCAGAAAAGCTGGGCCTCATTTACTTAAAAAAAAAAAAAAAAAAAAAAAAGGGGCGGGGGTGAGAGACTGCTTAGATTTCTCTTCAAGTAGGCACATATTCCTTTTGTTAACTTCAGTGGAGCTTCCTCATGCATACCAGAGAATGGGATTTGGCCTTTAGTTACCAATTGAGACATTAACAAACATAAAATACACATTCCTTGCTCTGTTGATAATTTTTCTAATTTTTATATTTTAGCTAGGAGTGACTAGCAGTGTACATTATGCCTGAAGCGTTTGTGATGGTGACAAATGTTACAATTCGTTCCTATTTAAAGTAAATGATTTGTGTTCTCACATCCAGAATACTATGTACAGTTCAGATTAAAATGTATTTACATTAAAAGAGCTTGTGGTGTGGAGAGTAGGAAAGGAGGAGGAGATGGGGGGTGGTATAGTTGATCCTTTCTCTCCTGTATCTCACAGGTCGTAAAGATCATGTTGAATTAATATGTAAAATATATCTAAAACCCAAATAAATTGTCGTGTCCTCATTTTCCAGACACTAATAAAAGCAGATGTCAGACCCCGCTAATTAAATGTACAAATTTATTTGAAAACAATAGAAATAATGAAATGTGATGTCATTTGGGAAGTGTCTACAGTAATAAGCGGGGATTAAATCCTGGCCCCATTGAAGTCAATGGGTATTTTACCGTTGACTTCAACAGGACCAGGATTTCAACCCAGATGACCAGGACTCCTCCAGTGATGGGATCTGTAAAGCAAACATATAAGAAACATTTACAGTTAAAACAGTCAGTGGAAAAATTGGCCCTCAGAATATGAACTTTGTGATCCTTTGGGTTTTAAGATGAGAGTGCTGCTCCCTTCATTATTGCTCTATTGTGATGGGGAATTAATTTCAGTTCTGAGGCCAAAGCAGAGCTGGAGGGATGTGAGGAGGTCTCCATTTTTCTCTTTTTTTCCTGGTTGTAGTGAAGTATCCGTTGTTGCTCTCATCATATGTAGGTATTGAACATCAGTCTTGCCCCCTTTAGATGCCAGACTGTGCAGTCTACCAAAAATACATTAAATGATAGAGGATATTACCTTTAGTTATTCACTTTTTCTTATGTTTCAGAATAAGTTAGAACACACATTCTGGGTTTTCTTGTCAGGCTGTCTATGATTGATTGTAAAGGAAACCACATTTCTGAATCTTCAAGACTTTTACAGGACCATCAAGATTTTCCCCATACCTATCTACCTACATTTTTTCATCATTTTGACACCAGAATATTTTACACCGTATTCTATTAAATCTTGTAAAAGACACTGGAAAGGAAGGAAAGAGAAGGATAACATATAACTACAGAAGATCAGAATAGCAGCCATGTGATGACTAATTGTAGCTAACTTTTTCCACTTGCGTCCCACTGATGGAGGAGGAGTAAACATCTCCAAGGTGCTGTTATTTAGGTCATGTTACTTTCACTAAATAGTGAAGGCATTTCTTAAATGATGTAGCAAGGTGTCTAAACTGTAACGTCAGGAGGAATTGATTTGAAAATCATAACACTGAAGAAATTGAATATTTGTATTAATGTAGGCCATTAATCAGAAAGGCACATGCTTAAATACCTAACTTTAAAGCTGCCCTGCAAAAATGATTCAACAAAGCACTTAAAACACATGCTTAAATCCCATTGACTTCAGTGGGACTTCAGCACATGCTTAATTACTTTGTTGAATAGGGATGATTTTAAGCAACCGCTTTTTTAGGCATGTGCTTAACAGTTCTGTTGAATTAGGGTCCCAGGATGAAGTTGACATTCAGCATTAGTTAGATGTCCTGAAACAGTTATACCAGAGTTCAAAGTATAGGATTGTAATTGGAAACTAAGGCGATTTTGAAGACTTTTCAAATACTGAACAATGAGCAGTGTATTGACAAGTAGTTTTATTTTACAATAACTTGTTTTAGTATCCCGCCTGGAAACTGGTATCTGAAACTCCTCTAGATTAGTATCAAAGGGGTAGCCGTGTTAGTCTGGATCTGTAAAAGAAGCAAAGAGTCCTGTGGCACCTTATAGACTAACAGATGTATTGGTGCATGAGCTTTCGTGGGTGACATGCATCCGAAGAAGTGGGTATTCACCCACGAAAGCTCATGCTCCAATACGTCTGTTAGTCTATAAGGTGCCACAGGACTCTTTGCTGCTACTCTAGATTAATTCATTTTAACCTCTCATGGTACTTTGACTAGAAAGACGCTTGAATTTAAAGAAAGTGCAGAAGATCAGTTTCGAAATCTTGCCAACTCACCAATTAGCCTTCACCTATAGACATTAGTTAATATTTTCATCTTTTTATGCATTGTGGGCCCGATCCTGCTTCCTTTTAAATCAATAACATAAGTCCCATTGACTCCAGTGTAGCAGGATCAAATTCTTTGTTAGCTTTTTGTATTATAAATGTCTCTTCAAAGTTTCAAAGAGGGTAAAATGATGGTAGCTTCTACAGGTGCTGCTGGTTCTTTTCACATGCATCGTCATGTTGAAGAAACAGAGCAGATTCAATCATTTATTCCCTGAGTATTGAAGATACAATACTTGTAGTTTTCAAGTGTCTCAGTTTTAAGAAAAGTTTCCCAGAGGAAAAAACAGAAGTCGTTTCAGGACAGGAGGTGTTACTGTATTTAGATAAGACTAGCAGAACTGGACAGCTTCAGTGAGGTTCCAAGATCGGATGTGCACATGATTATTTGTTTACAGTGGTGTTGTGGCCGTGTAGCTCCCAGGCTATTAGAGATAAGGTGGGTGAAGAAATATCTTTTATTGGACCAACTTACGTGGGTGAAAGAGGCAAGAAGAGTACTGAAGAAGAGCTCCTCTGTGTAGCTTGAAAGCTCGTCTCTTTCATCAACAGAAGCTGGGCCAATAAAAGATATTACCTCACCCAACCCGTCACAAATTTGAAAGATTTGTCTGTTACTGCAATGTATACACATCTCAATGAAGAGGAACAGTTTATCTACACAGGTGTATACAGATATCCAAAAAAAATATTCACTATGTATAACAACACAATGCAATTTGATAAGAATTAGGAATGTGCTGGACAGAAATCTGAATTGCCCGCTCTCCTGTCCATATCTTGTCTCTATCCGTTTTAATAGCAAGCTAAAAATATTTTAAATGGACAAAAAGACTCTATCAGGGAGATTCATTAGGGAGGCAAAACAGACTATTGATTTGAAATACAAAATTATTTAGCAGCACAGGAGAAACTGAGGAAATAATAATCGGTTTAAATCCTAGGTAGATGGGTTGTAGCTTGTTCTTTTGAAAGACCGCTTTCGTGTTTTTCTTAAAAATAATTATAATTTTTTTTAAAGTAGAAAATGGACTCTGTTCAGACAGCATCCCAAGTCAACAGTGTGTATTGCTCAGAATTTCTTCTTTGGCATTTTCTCATTCACTATCCTAATTGAGTTGATATGCCGAACAGCAGCAGATGTGCTTGCAGGATTGCAACAAAGAACTTGCTGCTGCCACAGTTGTGATTCCTTGCCTAGTGATTAACCTCAGCTATCAATCTGGGTTCGCCAATGCCATGTATCGATGGAGAAATTTTTTTAAAAGGATGCTTGCCTCAAATTCTCTTATATTGAATACAAGATAGACAATTGTCTAGAATGCAGGAATATATTGCATCTGCATGTCCTTAGTCTCCTGTGGATTCTTGATACCGTGATTGAAATTAGAATTCAGACAAAATGTTTTGCAGTTTGCATCCAATGTGCACTGGGCATAAAAAAACAATTATTTGGTAAGCATCAGCATTGTGGTTAAACATCTCAAAAACTTTACTGCACCTAAATCTCCAAATATTTCTGTCCCAGTTTTATAAGACTGGGAGTTTTAGATAGTTCACCTAAGCAGAATCTAGGTTCTGACTGCTCAGCAGAGCTAAAACAATTTTTTTCCGGTTCTCTCATTACTTATTGTTTCTGGGATGAGCCAATAATAGGCCTTAGGGTGTAGTGGAAAGTCTCAGAACTGCTTTTCATGTGTCAAAGATACTTACCAGCATTTGACAAAAATCGTTCAAATTTTTTTACATTTTAAATTCTAACATGGAAGGAAAAGGTGGCTTTCCCCCCAAGCATAGTATCCTGTAAAGCAGAATTACATTGGCTTTCAGAATGAGTCTTTGGTCACATTTGTTTAGACATTGATAGCAGATAGTCTAGGACCTGCTGGGCTGTGTAAATATTCACTAGATTGTGTTTACTGCCAGAGAAGGTCTACAGAAGGCTGGAACTACTAAGGAAGAAAACAACAGGTGCACTGAGCTAACTGTGTCAAAGCCAAAAGCAGGGTCCTATCTTACAAGTCTGGAAGTATTTATTCTCCCTACATCCATGATGTTTTAGTGGCATAAAATAGATGCTCTGAGAGGGTCATTAAGCCTGACTTGAAGAGAGCAGTCATTGTGTTTTTACCACTGTTTGGTCCAGTTTAATGACAGACTTTTCCCTCTAAGAATGGCGGATCTTTTTGAATGGGATTCATAATTACTTATCTTGCCAGTAGATGAGCAGAAGGCTGGAACCAGCGTATGTAGCAGAACAGGCCTGA